GGACATCCATCTCTCCCATTAATGAAGCAAATAAATCCCCAATTTAATAAGACGACCTCTTTACAATGTGAGTCATGTCAATTTGCGAAACACCATCGTACTAGCTTAGGCCCGCGAGTTAATAAACGAGCAAATGCTCCATTTGACCTTGTTCACTCTGATGTTTGGGGTGCTTGCCCGGTTGTGTCTAAAGCTGGTTTTAAATATTTTGTTACCTTTGTTGACGACTATTCTCGTATGACATGGTTGTATTTCATGAAACGTCGATCTGAGTTGTTCACTCATTTTTCCTCCTTTTGTGCTGAAATTAAAACTCAGTTTAACGTTCCTGTTCGGGTGTTAAGAGGAGACAATGCCCAAGAATATCTATCTGCTACATTTAAGTCATTTATGCTTCAACATGGCATTATTCATCAAACTTCATGTGTTGATACACCTCCTCAAAATGGAGTTGCGGAACGAAAGAACCGACATCTGTTAGAAACTGCAAGGGCTCTTCTATTCCAAATGAATGTGCCTAAACAGTTTTGGGCAGATGCCGTGTCTACTGCATGTTTTTTGATAAATCGAATGCCATCTTCTGTTTTGAATGGTAAAGCTCCTTATCATTGTCTATTTCCAAACAGAGAGCTTTTTCCTATCCCACCTAAAATATTTGGTTGCACTTGTTTTGTTAGAGATGTTAATCCTCATCTAACAAAGTTAGATCCGAAATCATTAAAATGTATTTTCTTGGGTTATTCTCGAGTCCAAAAGGGGTATAGATGTTTTTGTCCGAGTACTGGTCGGTATCTTGTTTCTATTGATGTATCATTTCATGAAAATACACCTTTTTCATCATCTAAGGCAGATATTCGTGAGAGTAATGATGATATTCTCATTTACACGATGACTATTCCCGAGTCCAAACTTTCGACAAATATTCCACAAGTTACTGTTCATGACCATAGGCCTCCCGTACATTTGGTATACACCCGTCGACACAAAGCACCTGATCACCCTCCACCGGCGATACCTGTGATTACTTTTCTTGATACTAGTTCGACTCCGATCTCATGTCCTGAACCAGTATCTGCATCTTCAGATCTTGTTTCCACATCAGATCTTGATCTCCCAATAGCAGTACGTAAAGGTACACGGTCTTGTACTCATCCTATTTCTTCATTTGTGTCGTACAATCAGTTATCTCCTGCTTCATGTTCTTTTATTGCTTCCATTGATTCTATTTCTGTTCCCAAATCTGTCAAAGAAGCTCTGTCTCATCCTGAATGGCGTCAAGCCATGGTAGAGGAAATGAATACTTTAGATCTTAATGGTACATGGGATTTGGTTGACTTACCTACAGGGAAGAAATCTATTGGATGTAAGTGGGTCTTTGCTGTTAAGGTTAACCCAGACGGATCTGTTGCTCGGTTGAAAGCCCGATTAGTTGCGAAGGGTTATGCTCAAACCTATGGTGTTGATTATTCTGACACTTTTTCTCCTGTTGCTAAATTAACATCTGTCAGGTTACTTATCTCACTCGCTGCAATTCATGATTGGCACTTACATCAATTGAACATTAAAAATGCATTTTTGCATGGTGACCTTAAGGAAGAAGTCTATATTGAGCAACCTCCGGGATTTGTTGCTCAGGGGGAGTATGGTAAAGTTTGTCAACTTCGCAAATCTCTTTATGGTCTGAAACAGAGTCCTCGTGCATGGTTTGGGAAATTCAGTCAATCAATTGAACAATTTGGAATGATAAAAGGCAAATCAGACCACTCTGTATTTTACAAACGAACAGAATCAGGTGTCACATTGCTTGTGGTATATGTTGATGATATTGTGATTACAGGGAGTGATAATGCAGGTATTTTGGCCCTTAAGAATTTTCTGCATAGTCAATTCCAGACGAAAGATCTTGTCTCTTTGAAATACTTTCTGGAAATTGAGGTAACACGAAGTAAGAAAGGCATATTTCTATCTCAACGTAAATATGTACTTGACTTACTAGTTGAGACAGGGAAATTAGGGGCAAAACCAAGTACAACACCCATGGTTCCCAACGTGCAACTCACTCAAGAAGGCACACCGTTTGAAGACCCAGAAAGATATAGAAGACTGGTTGGAAAGCTTAATTATCTCGCAGTCACCCGTCCAGATATTGTTTATTCTGTGAGTGTAGTGAGTCAATACATGTCATCTCCGACCATTGATCATTGGGCTGCTGTAGAACACATATTATGTTACTTAAAGGGAGCACCAGGACGAGGTATTGTTTATCAAAACCATGATCGCATGAGAATAGAATGCTTTGCAGATGCTGATTGGGCCGGTTCTAAAGATGATCGAAGATCTACATCTGGCTATTGTGTCTTTGTTGGTGGTAATCTTGTATCCTGGAAGAGTAAGAAACAGAATGTGGTTTCTCGTTCTAGTGTTGAATCAGAATATCGAGCTATGGCACAATCCGCATGTGAGATAATATGGATACACCATTTATTGAATGAAATTAGATTGAAGACACCAATGCCTGCTCAGTTGTGGTGCGATAACCAAACTGCTATACACATAGCAAACAACCCCGTATTTCACGAGAGAACAAAGCATATTGAGGTTGATTGCCATTTTATTCGAGAGAAGATACAAAAAGGATTAATCTCTACCGGGTATGTGAAGACTGGAGAACAACTTGGAGATTTATTCACTAAAGCTCTAAATGGGATTCGAGTTGATTACTTATGTAACAAGTTGGGCATGATAAATATCTATGCTCCAACTTGAGGGGGAGTGTGAAAGTATTATTGTATCTAGGAATATGCTTTAGGAATATGCTCTAGAATATGCTTTAGGAATATACTCTAGACATTATTATTGTATAGCATCTTATATAGGAATATTCCATCTTTGTAATATATATATAGAGCCTTAACCCTCTAATGAAATACACAGAAAATCCTTCTCTTCATCTTCAATGTTATTCTAGTTTATATTTCAACAGTACTGTTAGGTGTTGAGAGGTGAATTTGGTGCTTAACTGGGAGAAGTGACACTTCATGGTTAGTGAGGGAGTGGTCCTAGGGCATAAGATATCGAGTAGGGGGATTGAGGTTGATCCGACTAAGGTTGATGTGATTTCTAAATTGCCTTCCCCTACCTCAGTCCATGCTATTAGGAGTTTTCTAGGACACGCAGGTTTCTACCGTAGGTTCATCCAGGACTTTTCTAAGATAGCCCGACCCATGACTAAGCTCCTTGAGAAGGACACACTGTTTGACTTCTCAAAGGAGTGTTTAGAGGCTTTTGAGTGTTTGAAGGAGAAACTTGTCAAGGCACCGGTGGTAGTAGCTCCTGACTGGTCTTTGCGTTTTGAGATTATGTGTGATGTTATTGATTTTGCAGTAGGAGTCGTTCTTGGGCAGCGTCAAGAGAAACATTTTCAACCTATTTCTTATGCTTCTAAGACTCTCGATAGTGCCCAGGAAAATTACACTACCACCGAGAAAGAATTGCTTGCTTATATTCATGATATTGATGTTTTAAGTATATGAATTGATGTTTTAAGTATATGAATTTGCCTCTTTTGTGTGAAATCCCTAATTTTTGAAGTTAATTTGGCCAATTTAGGGTTGAATTTGCCGAAAGTGAGAAAAATTTGGGGATTTTGATTTCCTTGCTTGGTTTAAGCATTGAATTGTTGCTTGTGATGTTAAATGATTATTGTTGAGTCTATTTGAGCAAGAATCCCCAATTTTTAGGCCAAACTTCGTCTAAATTAAGAATTGAGAGTTCTTCCCCTAATTTTGATTTTCTTTCTAATTCATTTGGAAAGCACTTCATTCTAAAAACTTGTGATGATAAACGATGCTTGCTTGTGACCTTGTTTATACCGCGTGTCGTTGAAAATTTGAATTTTATTTAAAGAACCTTTCTTTGATAAAAGTTCAAATTTTTCAACTATTCTGGTTAAACTTGGAGTTGTTTTAGCTATAATGATTGATCTTGGTTGATTAATTGTTGACGGGGCCTATACTGTGATTTGTGAGTCTATTCTAACACTTGGACGACCCGTTGGAATTCTTGTTTTTGACTTGTTTTGACAGATGCCGCCAAGACAAAAGCACACTAGAGGTGCGGGTGCCAGTTCTAGCATTACATGTAGAATAAATTAAAAGAGATCTAATTTATTCTAGGACACATTCACACACACTTAATCGTTCTTTAAGAGATTAGTAGCGATTAAGGGGTCGTAAGCTCGCTCGTCTTGGCAATAATTTAGGATCCTGTCGAATGAGAGATCAGCATGGTCCCCTAAATTATTGTACTCTGCGCCACGAGAGCGGTAAGAACTTAGTAATGATTAGCTAGGCTCAATTAAATCAATTTCATGTAATATGGCCTGATCTGCCAGAAATCTGGTTAACCCCGGAATCAATCCTTGTTCCCTTCATCGTTAATTAAGGAAAAACCAATCTTTTTATTCGCTCATTAGCATTAGATTTATTTTACTTAACCAACCAAACTCGCACAATTGCATTTTGTTTTATTTCTTTCTTTTTAATCGCTGAATTTAGTTAATCTTTAATTCCCTTTTGTCCGTCCCTGTGGAGACGATACTCGTACTTTCAACCACTTTTCTACAACCATTTTAAGTGCGAGAAAACTCACATCATGTATACTTGTCACTTATCCTTTTGAGATAGCATTTAGGCCTATTGGTTTGTTTTATTTTTTCATTCAAGAATAACTACTTAAATAGCACCAGCTACTCCAAATCGGAAATAGATACGGGCATGTTAGTGACAGAAGTGACAACCCCCCAATGCACGTGAAAACAATAGGTGGTTAGGGCCCATCCGGCTGTTTAAACTTTAAACTTTCAGGTTTCCGACTAGAAACACACTCTCACACACAAAACTGGCTAACTTCCTATTACAGATCTAGCATGACACCAGAGACTGACTTTATACTCACTTTTTAAATTAAACGTAGAAACGGGGAAAAGGTTAATCACTTACCTCAAAGGAGCATAATGAGACATTGGATTTACTCCAAAACCTACAATCATGTTCTCCATGAAGAACTTTTCTCTCAAAAGACACGTTGTTCATCGGTGTAGATGAACATATCCTTCCAAAATAATGAACTATGCACTTCAATTTATGTTCAAGTTTCTCGTCATAAGCATCATATAGATTCCTGCAAATTTACATCTGACACATATGAAATCATCTTGGAGACAATATCAAGACATCAACTTACCATAAAGATCATAATTCTCAAATCACTATATAGTGACACTTATTAATTCTGGGAACTAAATGAATATTCTGTCCCTCAACAGCTGAACTATATAAGAATAATTTTATAAGGATACTTTTTCCAAGGCTACTAATAGACCAAAAAAGATTACATAATAAAAGTTAATTAAAGCATCCAGTATAACCAACACGGCTAGATACACCAGCAAATTATGTATCTCGATGAATTTTGGATGAACTAAAACATAAAATGTTTGTCTTAACACAAAAAAGGATGAAAATAAAATCCAAAAAATGTGACTTCAATGCCATAAAGCATATTGCACTCTAAACTAATGAAACTAATCATGAAGATTAATGGAGCCCTAGAAAAGGTGGAGCAATAATTAGGCAGTCATTATTGCTAAAGCAAAAAAAACAATAGGCAGCTGATGAAACATACGCAAACAAGTGATCAAAGTTGATCCTGGGAAGATGTTTGGCATCTCTATATCTTGTTGGAAACAAACAAAAGAAGGAACACGCAATGAGAGCACCCACCAGTTCCTGAAAAATATCAGACATAAAAAAATCTGAAATTCAATTTCCATCTCAATCCGAGGCATGAATACAATACTCAACAACATCCAAGTCTTAGCTTAGAAAACGGAGCTACAAAAGATAAACAACATCTTCGAGCCTTTTTCTTAGAAAACTTTTATGAGATCTATTAATGAGTTCTAGAGACTAATTAAGTTTTCTTTAGGTAATATCTTCAGGAAATGAAACTGCTGGCAGAAGTAGATCAGCCCGGGAGTCACATAGACAGTTATGTATCCTAGTTGAACTTTGTGCTGTCCCGCAAAGCGGCAAGTTTGGCCAGCCTCCAAGCACGTCTTGCAAGGTTCCAGCACCAGCTTAAAGAGCAGGAAATTTTTAGTAAAAAGAGGCCCCCCACTGGTAACCATTGTATTGCTCTCTTTGTCATATTATATTACATACTCCGTATACATAATCGGTGAAGGTGTACTAGATTTTCGTCTCTAGTTTGTGTTTTGCGTGTACACAAACAGATCAGCTGGAGGTATTCCAGCGTACAATCAAAAGAAAGGGAAATGGTGTGCAGTTTATGCTGAACACTTTCTTGCTTTAATGCTTTCCAGCTTTGAACTGAACAGCCACCAAGGATTGTTCATATGGTCTTGCAATATCATTTTACCCTTTTTTAAATTGTAAGAACTAATGATTTGATTATTTAGTAAAGGAAACCCATATAATTTCCTGATATTTTGATTAAACTGAAGGAATTCACCAACATTCTGTCCATAAGGACCTGACACAAAATGTTTTATATATGAACAAGTCCAAAGTTTTTCCTACTCATAATACGTTGATCAATGTCGCGGGTGGATCTGGTCCTAGAACTGGGATCAAATGGGTAAAGAATGCTTTGAAAACTATACATTTGTTCCATCTGTGTGTTCTTTATTTCTTTATCCCAAACTCTGTGAGATGGATTGAGTTATTTTAATATTAACTGTTTGATCACTGTTTTTCGCTCTGTCACTTAACTATCAATTAGGTATTAATTTTTATTCCATTTGTATAAAAATTAATATCCCAAACTCAATCCGCCATGAATCCTGAAAAGATTTAAATTTGAACTTTTGGCAATCTATATATATACCTGACTGAGAAGCACAACTCCAGGCTCTTGTGATTCCAGTAAACGAAGCCCTGTATGGACTCCCCCAACAACCCCGCCGTCAGCTTTCTCATAGTGGTCCTCCAACAACGAAGGAAATCTCAAAAGCAAACTAGCCAACCCTGGCACTACATCTTCGAACCATTTCGACGCTTCTTCGCGAGAAATCAACTGTTCAACAACCCAATCCGGATACTTTTCATGGAATTAACACGGCACTTGCGTTGAAAATAGATGAATGAAACAACTGATTATCTTACGTCGTCGAAGAAGATGGAGTAGCCGTCGGAAGTGGATTCTGCAAGGGAGGACTCTGAAAGGCAGAGGGAATTGCGGATGTCGGAGATTGCAATGAATAGAACTTCTCCGGTGTCAACGTTGCTGTGACGCGGGCCCCGCGAGAGCTCCTTGAGGGCATCGACGACGGGAGGTGGCCAGAAGAGTGATGATGATCGGAGAAGCAGCGGCAAGTATGGGAGGATGGACTTCAGGTCATCCCTGCTCTCCATTCAACTTCTTTCAAGTGAGAAAGCGAGTGTGTTTGATCACAAACGTTGCTCCAAATCTTCCATGTCTGGGAATAACAGAATAAGTTGTACGCAGTAGATGCAAGAATGTGAATTTAGTGTTAATTCCCTGCGAATTTGAATTTCAAGCATTTGCAGAATTTGAATTTCATTCTCAGGGGTATATTAAAGCACAGCATCATTTCTTCAATTTTATCCAAAGGCTCCAACTTCTTATAATCTTTAAAAGAGAAAAAGTAATTTTAAGAATCAGATTCAAACACTTCTCATACAAAAACTAATGCGTGACAATAATTTTATCCAAAGGCTCCAATTAACATCTACGAATCCCAGGTAGGATGTTAATTCTCACACTAACTTCCTCTACCATTTTTTTTCTTTATTTCAATGATTATAAAACTCTTTTTGACTCAATTTGAATTCTAAAAACATTAAAGGTTTTGATAATTTGATTGAAACATCTTGATCACTCTATTTAACTAGTAAGGATCTAATAGTTTCATTAAAATTATCTTCTAAATAGTTTTGTCCATCAACTGTTTGTAAAAATTCCGAAGTGAATTTTTGTTCATATTTTGAGCAATTTTTAAATAAACTTTGTTGTACTTGAAAATAGTATTGACTATGTATATTTTATTTTTCAGAATAGTTCTTTTTTGCATTAATTTAAATAACTTTTATGCTACTTGAATTAAGAAATTCTTGATTTCGTTTGTTATTTTCTAAGTTTTATCTTTAAACAATTTGTTATTAGATTTTATGTTCGGTTTTTATATATTAGATTCAACTATTAATGATTCATATGTGATATTTTGAGCTATTAATGTTAAACTTTTCTATTATTACATTTAAAATGATGATGGATAGTCTACCCGGGGTATATATCCGAAGGGTTATTGCTGGGAATAACTTAGAGAGAAGTCAGAGCAAGTAAATGTAGAGAGAGAGTGTATTATAAATGCGGGGCGTTTTCAGCGTCGTTACAAATGGGGAAATGGGGTGTTATTTATAGTAGCAATAAATGCCGGGCAGGGACACGTGTCAAGCGCTCATTGGCCGAGGGGTCACCTCAACTGGTTGGCGCTGGCAGCCGCATGTGGCCGCATTTAATGCGGCTGTTGGATGGGACGTCTGTGCAGGGTACGGTGATCTGTACGCATGTGAGGCGGATATCTTGTCGAGTGAGATGTCTTCGGCTATAGAGCAGTAGCCGAGGGCTCCTCCAACCGATGGCACCCTGGTGCCGAGGGCTCACAGTGCCGAGGGCTACTGTTTTCGCCGTTTTCTCCCAGTTTCTTAATTTGCTTGAGAAACCCGTTCTGTGAGAGTTTAGAGCCTTCGGCCAGGGGGCCGAAGGCACCCCTGGCGCGTAGTGCGGGCTGCTTTGTACTCTGGGCGCTGTGATTTGGGCCTGGTGGGCCTCCTGGGCCTGTTGGGCCTTCATTGGTGTAGTAGGAGTCTGTGGGTCGGCTGTTCCCGGGCCATATACTCCATCAGGAGTCCCTCACTCCTTTTGCCGAAAGGTTTTTGAGGGAAAAAGAGTAATTTGTGCTTGCCCTTTGATGTTGTCCTGTCGTGATCTCTGAAGTTGGTGAAGAGTTGTTGCTTTTATGTCCCTGTCGAAGGCAGTGCCTCAGTTACCCACATGTCGGGACTTGAGGGCTTGCTTTGTCGTTTGTTGGAATTTCACTAATTTTGTAATTTAATGATTTTCCCGAGGGGGTCCTCCAGTCCCCCACTTCTTGAGGCACTTGTAAAGAGGTGAAAAGGAGTAGAGTAGTTGCGTTGCTGTTGTGGGCCGAAGGCTGACGCTTTTCGTTTCATTTTGGGGGGATGCCTCGTTAAAAACCTCATTAGAAAAAACCCTGTGGGAAAAAATCCTAATGAGGGAAAAAGAGTGCACCGAATTCCCCCAATGATGAATCGAAAATGTCAAACCTTGGTCAAAAATGGAGAATAACGGTAATGCCGAAGGCTCTTCTTTTTCTGAGGGCTCATGTGTTGGTTAGCCGAAGGCTTGCTGTTGATGTCCTGGGGGTGCCGAAGGGGAGCCCCTCAATCCGGGGATCGAGGGCCTGCTGGATGAGGGCAGCAGTGGAGTTGTTACCGGGGGATCCACTGTTCGTTGATTAGTTGGTGATGAAGATACCCGAGGGCTCCCATTACCTGTGTGCCATGGGTTATCCGTCAATGAGGTAACTCCCCGGGGGCTACCCGGTTTTGCAGTGCTGAGGGGGAATCCCCGAGGGGTGCCCTGACATGAAGCCCTAGGTTTCTGAAGGAATGATCTCGAAGGCGTCTGTTATGTGCTGTGTGGGGCACAACCCGGGGGCGTCTCTGGGCAAGTGTACCCGGAGGCTCTCCTTGACGAAGTGGAGTGAAGTAGCAAACCCGGGGGCTTCCAGAATATAGCCGTTGGAAATATAGCCGTTGGAATATGTAACGACAGGATATAGCCGTTGGGGGGGCACACGTGGCGTGTGATGGCTGGCTGTCCGTGGGCGGCATCACTGGTTGGGTGAAAACACGGTGCGTAATGATGACGGTCCGTCCGGAGGCCCGGTTTCTGGGCCCAAGCCCGGATTCCAGCGCCTATAAATACCCCAAGGCCAGAGCCATTTCCTCTTGTGCGATCAGTTGTCTTAGCGAAGCTCTGCCAAAAATTCTAGTGAGACAAACTCAAGCCTTCGGTCCTAACTCAGCTTTCGAGGTCAGTGCCCCCTGCCTTTCTCCTTCTAGTTTAGCTGTGCATTGTGCCCTCGGGTTAGGAGATAGAATTCCCTAGAAACCTTAGTTCCCCCGAACCCTCGAGCTAGAGTTAGAATGTCGTCCCAGAGTGACTCTCAGGACATCTCGAGGACCCCCTCGGTTCAGGACGAAAGCATATCCGACATGGAGTCCAGTAGCAGTCAGCCCTCGGGTGGTGGTGATGCAGCTCTCGCCACCGAGGTGCAGAAGGATCTGGTGGCCGAGGTCGAGGCGGAGGAGTTCGAGCGAACCGCCGAGGATGAAGAGTTGGCCCTCGCCGTCCAAGTTGCTGAAGAGGAGGAGGAAAAGGAGAGGGTGAAGGTCACTGCCGTTGTTCTTCCCCCCCGGGGTTCTGGGGAAGCAAGTAGCTCGAGGCCACTGGACCCGACGCCTTTAAGTGTAGCCCTCGGGAAGAAGAGGAGGAAGACGAAGGCTGGCCCCCAGAAGAAAGTAAAGGTCGTCGATCAAGGGGGGCCAGTTGATCTACCGGAGGGTTACTCCTTCCTGGACACCGCCGCTCTGGAGATTAAGTCCCAAGCTGACAGGGCGGACATCTACATCACCCAGTTGCACGTAGGGCCCTCGGTCGTAGTAGTCGAGCCAGGTCCTGATGACGTGCTGTCCCGGCCTCCCGAGGGATGTATAGCCGTGCACGTGCTCTCGGTTTCAATGGGCCTCCGGTTCCCTCTCCATCCGTTCCTCCGAGAGTACCTGAGGTACACTGGCCTGGTTCCTTGCCAATTGACCCCTAATAGCCATTCATACATAGCTGGGTTTGTGAACCTGTGCAAACTCCGGGGGGTCACAACGAGCTTGGAGTTATTCTTCCAAAGCTTTAACCTATGCCGGGGGGCCATACTAATGCCGAGGGCTATGTGAACTTACAACAGATAGCCCAGTTCAAACTGTTCACCGAGGCCCCTTCTTCCAACAAGGGGTGGAGAGAGCGATGGTGCTACATCAGACTGGCCGACAGTCCTTTCCCGAGGGAGTTGCGGAATCGCTTTCGGCGCCATGTGAAGGTCAAGAGTGCCGCCCTCGAGAAGGATGGCCTGAAGATTGCCAAGATTCCGGAGGGTCGGGATAAGAACATAATCACCAAGGAGTGCATCCTCGAGGAAGACCTATATGCCCTCGGATTCCTGAGGTATCGGTTCATTGGGGAGACCGATGAGAAGTATCCCCTCTATGATAAAGCCTTCGTGGGAGCAGGAGGTAGTGGCCGAGGGCTTTAGATTTTTGTACTTAGAGATTTTTTTTTTGTCGTGTTTGTCGTTGTGTCTCTGACCCCTCGGTTCTAACCTTTTAACTTGTTGTTTCTTTGCAGGTAGCAAGATGAATGCCAACGCCCTGTTCGCAAAGAGGAAGGGCAAGACCCAGTCAAAGGAGAAGGGGCCCTCGGGCCAGAAGCCGGCCGACACATTTTTTCCGAAGGTAGTAGAGCCTTCCGATGGGGACGTCCATGCTGCCGTGGGGACCGGGGGGTCGAAGCCCGAGGCGGCCGTGAAGAAGAAGAGGAGTGATAAGGGGGTGGAGCCCCCCACCAAGAAGCAGAAAGCCACCGGGGGCGCTGTCGAGGGGGCGCCCCCCCTCATAGTTATTGATGACACGCCCGCCGCTGATGGGCCCCTGGCCTCGGTCACCCCGAAGGCTCTGGTGAATCCATCCCCGGAGGAATTACCCCGGGAGATCCGTCAGCTCTCCTTTGCCCCCGGTGCTTCACTGATGCACGGCACTGCCGAGCCGAGGGCCTTCCTGCGGGGCATCACGTCGAAGATGGACAGAGAAGTCTTCGACACGTACGACGATGATGCCCTCGAGAACAGGATCCTCCGGTCCTCTCTCACTGTAAGTATCTGCTTCCTTTTTCCTTCTCTTATCAGTTCAGCATTATTTTTTCTCCTTTTTTCGGGGAATAATCGAACTCCCTTGATCATTGTTTGCAGGCCTGCATAGCCCTCGGGGAACCGGCCCGGAGGCGCGAGGAAAGGCGCCTTCACGAGGTCGCCCAAGATAAGAAGATGGAGGGGCTGATCCGCAAGAACTCCGAGGCGGTGAAGCATGCTGCACAGTTTGAGGAGGCCCTCCGGGAGGCGAAGGCGGCGGCGGAGAAGGCCAAGGCTGACGGCATAGCCGAGGGCAAGGCTGAGGCCGAGAGGGTTGCTGCCGAGGCGGCGAAGAAAGCTGCCGATGAGGCCAAAACCGCCCAGGAGGGAGCTGTGGCCAAGGCCCGAGGGGAGGCAGTTGCTGAGTTTCTTGCTGAGGGCTG